TATTAACAATGGTTGGATACTTTCCGGACAGCGCTCATATGTATAGAGTGTGTGTGTGGTCTTAATGGTCTTAAGCATTTATGCAAAGAGATGCCTTTACTGCTTACAAAGCACCTCTGATATTTTTCTATTCTGTTAATGCTTGTCATAGCTACTAAGTTTATTTCAAACTCACTAATGAGTCCCAGCCTTCAGTTTGAACGTCCATATAGGAAAATTTATCTACAACACATTCCCCGGTTTTTACAGTCGGCTTTCAGAGACTACATTATTCCTGAGTTCACTTCCATTTGAAAAAGGAAAAATTTCAAACGGGGGGAAAGAACAAAACTTTCAGAAACAATCAATCGATAGGCCACATGCCACTTTTATGCTTTGTGATTTTTTTTCTCTCAAATAATTCTTACCATGATTTTGTGATCAGCATGATTTTCTTAGCAGCATCCGCTTAGCTTAGCCCTGAATCTAGTGAAGGCTTTCATCTTCCCCATGATATACCCTGTAAAGCAGTTGGTGTTCCCCATCCCTTTGCTATTATGGATAGATTATTTGAAAAAGCTCTTTTTATTTTGTAACTTGGCTTGAAGTCCCCCCAATGAAGTCAAACTGGGATTGATTTATTCAACATATTTATTAAACACTATGTGTCAGGCAGTGTTCTTGGAGTGGTGATAAAGTAGTGAATGATATAAAATACTTGTCCTCTTGGATATAAAGACAAACAGTGATAAAGGACATATATAGTTTTTCAGAGGATAACAGGTGCTGTGTAAAAACAAAACAAAACAGGTGAATGGAAATCACCAAACAGGTGTATGGTAGACAGGGAGAATTTACTATTTGATATTTGGTGATAAAAGAGGACTCGCTGATGAGGCTTATTTGAAAAGAGACCTGAATAAGAAGGGAGGAGCAAGCCATGATGCTAATTGGTAGAACAAAGTTCCAAGGAGAACATAACTCTTCCTGTCCAGTGTTGACTTTGAGGTCTGTACTCTTGCCCTACTTATTTCCTCCTCACAAGTTCTTGCTCTGTTTTAAAAGATTAGATTCTAATTTTTTACCTTTTTTGGCCCCTGTAGGTTATAGAAGCTTTAATTGTGATCAGGTTTTAGAATAATGTTTGTTACTACCATAATCATCTTCTCCCGGTTGTTCTCATAGAGGTTGTTTCTCACAGGAGGTAAAGGACCACTATCTGTTTATACTCAAACTTCAGCTACTTAGATGATGAGTTATTTTCTTTCCCAAACATCTTGTCTTTCCAACCAGTATGGTGTCTCAGAGGTGCCTAATATTGGAGTAAACTTCAAATGAAATCATCCAAGGCAAAGGTTTTTGACATTGCTAGGGGACATCTGATAATCTACCTGTAGGAGTATCGCTAGACATTTTGAGCAGGGCCACTTTTTTCAGATGTCCATGCAGTAAGCAAAATTCTGTGGAAGCTATTTATTAGACACTTGCTGCAGCAAAAGATGAGGACTTTAGTGAGGTGCAACTTCTTGGTAAAGATCGCCTAGGAAGTTTTTGTTTTGTTTTGTTTCACTTTGTAGCCACCAGTTTCTAACTTGTAGCTCACTTAGAAATTTAGCATGATTCTAAATGAGTTTCATTAATGTGCAGTGAATGGGAGCCCAGTGGACTGCCTCTTGGTTTCTTGGGCCATGTAAATCAGATAAGAAGATGACACGAGGTCGGGCGCGGTGGCTCACGCCTGTAATCCTAGCACTCTGGGAGGCCGAGGCGGGCGGATTGTTTGAGCTCAGGAGTTCAAGACCAGCCTGAGCAAGAGCGAGACCCTGTCTCTACTAAAAATAGAAAGAAATTAATTGGACAACTAAAAATATATAGAAAAAATTCGCCGGGCATGGTGGCGCATGCCTGTGTCCCAGCTACTCGGGAGGCTGAGGCAGGAAGATCGCTTGAGCCCAGGAGTTTGAGGTTGCTGTGAGCTAGGCTGACGCCACGGCACTCACTCTAGCCAGGGCCACAGATTGAGATTCTGTCTCAAAAAAAAAAAAAAAAAAAAAGAAGATAACACGATGATGAAAAACAGAACCTTCTCCTGGTTCAATGAAGCCTTAAGCTATTGGCTTAAGTTTATAACCTTGACATCTCTGAACAAAGCATTCATACGCCCCATCTCCGAATTTTCTTTATCCTTTTAGGAGGCAAGAATCTAAAGGAGATGGAGACTCTTCAAGAAATAGGATTAAGGTACCTGCCACATGAAGAGCTTTTCTGCTCACAAATCTGGCAACAAGTTACAAGGGAGTTAACCAGGTATCAAGATTCCGTGGTAAATATTCAAGAAATTGGCTCTCAGTTGGAAAAACAAGGTGTTGTACCCGGTAAAGATGAGGCATTCAGTAATCAGAATTCACATCTTCAAGCTCACCACAGAGTCCACACTAGTGAAAAACCCTACAAAGGGGAAGAGTGTGAGAAAAGTTTTAGCTGGAGCTCTCATCTTCAAATTGACCAGAGGGCTCATGCAGGCGAGAAGTCCTACAAATGTGAAAAATGCGATAATACTTTCCGTCGGTTTTCAAGTCTTCAAGCCCATCAGAAAGTCCACAGTAAAGAGAAATTATACAAATATGACGTATCTTGTAAAGGTTTCAGTCAGAGGTCACATCCTCACCATCATCAGAGAGTCCCCACTGGAGAGAATTCATACAAATATGAGGAGTATGGGAGGAATGTCAGGAAAAGCTCCCGTTGTCAAGCTTCTCTGATAGTCCATACAGGAGGGAAACCCTATAAATGTGAGGAGTGTGGTGTAGGCTTCAGCCAGAGTTCATATCTTCAAGTCCATCAGAGAGTCCACACTGGAAAGAAACCTTATAAATGTGAAGAATGTGGGAAGAGCTTCAGTTGGCGTTCACGATTACAAGCTCATCAGCGAATCCACACTGGAGAGAAACCATACAAATGTGATGCATGTGGCAAGGGCTTTAGTTATAGCTCACATCTTAACATTCATTGTAGAATCCACACAGGAGAGAAACCCTATAAATGTGAGGAGTGTGGGAAAGGTTTCAGTGTGGGCTCACACCTTCAAGCCCACCAGATAAGCCACACTGGAGAGAAACCATACAAGTGCGAGGAGTGTGGGAAGGGCTTCTGCCGGGCCTCAAATCTTCTGGACCATCAAAGAGGCCACACTGGAGAGAAACCATATCAATGTGATGCTTGTGGTAAGGGCTTTAGTCGTAGCTCAGATTTTAACATCCATTTTAGAGTCCACACAGGAGAAAAACCCTATAAATGTGAGGAGTGTGGTAAGGGCTTCAGTCAGGCCTCAAATCTTCTGGCTCATCAAAGAGGCCACACTGGAGAGAAACCATATAAATGTGGTACATGTGGGAAGGGCTTCAGTCGGAGTTCAGATCTTAATGTTCACTGTAGAATTCACACAGGAGAGAAACCCTATAAATGTGAGAAATGTGGTAAGGCCTTCAGTCAATTCTCAAGTCTTCAAGTACATCAGAGAGTCCACACTGGAGAGAAACCATACCAGTGTGCAGAGTGTGGGAAGGGCTTCAGTGTAGGTTCACAGCTTCAAGCCCATCAGAGGTGCCACACTGGAGAGAAACCATACCAATGTGAGGAGTGTGGGAAGGGCTTCTGTCGAGCCTCAAATTTTCTGGCTCATCGTGGAGTCCACACAGGAGAAAAACCATACCGATGTGACGTGTGTGGTAAACGCTTCAGACAGAGATCCTACCTTCAAGCCCACCAGAGGGTCCACACAGGAGAGAGACCGTACAAATGTGAGGAATGTGGGAAGGTGTTCAGTTGGAGCTCATACCTGCAAGCCCATCAGAGAGTTCACACTGGAGAAAAACCATACAAATGTGAGGACTGTGGAAAGAGCTTCAGCTGGAGCTCAAGTCTTATCATTCATCAGAAAGTCCATGCTGATGATGAGGGTGAGAAGTACTTAACTTCGTCAGAGGATTCACACAAGAAGGAAGCTCTGTAAAAATTATGTTTTAATATCTCAAATGGGTGCTTAAATATTCCAATTATCAGAGCCATCATAGGAGACAAAACATTTGTTTCATAAAAGAGTCAGTATTTCAGCTGGAGCTCCACATGTCACAGTGATTAGGAGACCGCACAGCAGAGAAGCCTCATGAGAGTGGAGACATACAGACTTCATTCAGAACCTTGACACTTAGCAGATACATGCAGATGAGAGGCTCAGGAAGGATGATTCTGATCTGGAGTTAACCAAAAGTACTATGATGGAAATACCAAACTCTATTCTACTAAAATACAAGCTCAAAAAAGAGAGAGACTTTATTGACTGCCAAATCTACTCTGCCTTTTCAGTGCCTAATATATTGTAAGTTTTTGGTAATATATGAATTACTATCATATTTGAAATTTTTATTCAGTTTCTAAAAGTTTCTATAAAATTATACTCAAGAGGAATTCTGCAAGGCTTGGAGGACATTGAAGTTAGTCTTATGGGCTCATTTTTCCTTTCCTGCAGTCCCTGTGGACTAGTATTTATCGAACTGAAGGTTGCAACCCATTAGTGGTTCCAGAACTCAGTTCTGTGGCTTGTGACTAGCATTTTCGTATGCTAACAGTAATTTTATTGAGGTATTATTTGCATGCAGTAACATGCATACATCTCAAATTTATGGCTCCATGAATTTTGACAAATGTATACACGTAATATAATCATCACCAAGATCGATATATACAATATTTCAATTAAACCAAAACAATTTCTTGTGCCCATTCCCAGTCAATCCCACCTCCAGTGCCAAACATTATGATTTTTGTACCATAAATTAATTAGGTCTGTTCCTGAGTTTCATATAGATTTAGTATGTACTCTTTTGTGTCTGGATTCTTGTGATCAAATATATGATCATCTCAATAGATTCAGAGAAAGCATTTGATAAAATTCAACATCCATTCTTGGTGAAAAAATTTCTTAAGGTAAAAGGCATCTATGAGAATCCCATAAACTAACACTCTTTTCGTAGTTAAGGAATAATTTATATAATGTTAAAATTGACTCTTTAGTGTATCATGAGTTTTGGCAAATGCTTACTATCATATAACTGCCATCACCACAATCAAGACATTAAACAGTTCTAGCACTCCCTGCCCAAAAATTCCCTTGTTCTGTGTGGTCACCTCCTCTCCCCATCGCCAGCCCTTGGGAACCACTGACCCATTTTCTGTTTATGTAGTTTACCTTTTCCAGGATGTCATATAAATGGAATCCTACAGTATGTAGCCTTTTGAGTCTGGCTTATTTCACTTATTTTAATGATTCTGAGATTCATCCATCTTGTTGTATATATCAGTACAGTAGTCACTTTTTATTGCTCACTAGTATGCTGTTGTGTGGATGTACCTCAATTTGTTTTTCCAGTTTATCACTTGAAGAATATTTGGGTTTCCAGGTTTTAGCAATAATCAAGGAAGCAGGTATAAATGGTACGTACAGTTTTCTGTATTGGCATAAATTTTCTTTTGTCTTAGTAAATACCTAGGAGTGGAATTGCTGGGTTGTATGGTAAGAGTATGTTTAACTATGAAAAAGTGACAAACTTCTAACAAGGTTAACTACCATTTTGCATTCCCACCACCAATGTATGAAAGCGCCAGTTTCTTATCCTCACCCTGGTGTCAGGGTTTTGTTTTGTTTTTATTTTGTTATTAGCATTTCAAAGGTTTATAATGATGTCTCATTTTTGTTTTGATTTACATTCCCCTAATGACTATGTTAAACAATCTTTACATATACTTGTTTGCTGTCCATATACCTATTTTCTTTGGTGAACTGTGTCCACATCTTTTGCCTTTTTTGTTTTTAAACTGGATTGTTTATTCTCTTGTTCCTGATTTTTTAGAGTTCTTTGTATGTTCTAGATACACATCTTTATCAGTTATGTGTTTTGCAAATATTTTATCCCATTATATGGCTTGTGTTTTTATTCCATTAATAATATTTTTCACAGAGGACAAGTTTTTTTTTTATTTTTGATTAAGTTCAGGTTTTGTCGTTGATGGATTGTAATTTGGTTTCAAATATAAGAACTCTTTGCCTAATCCAAGATCACA